AGGAAGGAAGGAAGGAAGGAAGGAAGGAAGGAAGGAAGGAAGGAAGGAAGGAAGGAAGGAAGGAAGGGAGGGAAAGAAAGAGAGAGAGAAAACGTGCTCCTGGCTTTCCTGTGGAATGGGTGGGCTTTTACAATCAGAAGCTTTCCTTCAAACCTGTTCTATCCCAGGAAGGTGGAGATGAGTCCGTACCTACAGACATAAGGACAGGAAATGCCAAGGCAGTGTCTGTAGCCCAGAGGACAAAGCAGCAGCCGGGCTGTGAAGCCAAGCCCATCCCCGAGCCTGAGTGACACATGCTAACTGTGCCCCACATCCTGGCCCTTTCGTAACCTGAAACAAGGTTCTCTTTTGAAACCTGAAGCTTCTGACTCTTCCACCGCAGTATATAAACATGGGCCAGGAAGAAAATGGCTCTGAGAGATACAGTAGCCTTTATGTCACCTCCAAAATACCTCTCGGGCCACTGGGAAGTCAACAACACTACACACAAAACACAGCCACCTTGCAGGCAGTCTGGGTCCACACGTTTACCTCCTTTGGCGAGTCCGATGGTGGGGTATTTCTGGTTACTCAGGGATAACATTACTCAGACCTGCTCACGTTAGTTGGCCCCTCTGTGGCCTTCCTTTGAGCCAAATAGTGGAGGGAAAAGTACTTTAGATACGAATTAGGACACCTGGGTTCTAGTCTCAATTTAATTTGTTCAGTTTGTGCCCAGGACTGTTGGGGAACAAGTGAGTTTTCCACTTATTGGGTGAGTTTTCCAGATAACTAGAGATGTGCTAGCTACAAGATATCTGCACTTTACTGAGTAAGTATTGGAAATTCTTGTCAGATGTGGTATATATGAAGAGCACAGGCCTGGAGCCAGGGTGCCTGGGTCTGCATCCAGCTCCACCACGTGCTTGCTCTGTGATGTTGGGCAAGAGACTCAACTTCTCTGAGTCTCTGGGGATAGTCCCTAGTTCATAAAGTAGTGGCGAAGGTTAAAGAAATTAACTATATAAAAACACGTAGAACAACACCCGGCACATAATAATCATTTCAATGAGTATTATCATTATTACTATAAAACAATGTAAAATATGAAAGTAAGTGAGGCTTTTCTGTTTCGGGTCATTACCATAAACACTAACCAAGATACCATATGTACACGCACATACTATGTACCACTACACACCCACTCCCACTAACCGTGTATAAATGCACACGCCTAAATACAAATATATATTATCACGCCTTTGTGACCCGCCAGAAGACCATGCTGACCTTGAATGACCTCAGGGGCGGCACTAATGACCGGCCTGCCTGCCAGGGGTGGCGTCCGGCCCTGTCCGACTGTCCTCCCCTCCGGGCTGGTCTTCTGTCCTTCTGGAACCGGGTAACCCAGTTGCAAAGCCGTGAGAACTGAGGCTAGAATACAAGCACAGAGATCTGAATGAGAGTCTCACAGGCGCCTTTAAAAACCCACGGTATGGGCTTAACCACTTGGGCTTGTGTCACTTATTTTGATTGATCAGAGAACAGTATTTAGCTTGCTTTCTGGATCTTGAACATAGTCCAAGCCTGTGGTTTTCGGCTACGTTCACAGGAATTCATGCTCTGTGAGCACATCTCAGGGGCCCCACCGTGCGGGGAAGGGGGAGCACGAGGCGTTTTATTGGGTCGGGATCCAAGTCCTCCGCTTCCCTTCACCCGGAGAAGCTCTAATACGTGTTCTTTACAACGGGGGCTGCAGGAGTGCCACTGGAAGAAAGGGCTCCGCTGCTAAATCAATAAATAAAGTTGACAGCTACTGTTCTACAGAGTCGTGCGAGGAAGATAAATGACATCTAGACATACACACTTTTCTGTAGGCTTGAAATATTTCAAACGCCAGAGAGACAGAGACAGGGACAGAGAGAGCCAAAACATCAGTAGAAATTAAACATTACAAGAAATTTTTTTTTTGTTAATCCTTACTCAAAGATATTTTTTTCCGTTGATTTTTAGATAGAGTAGAAGGAAGGGGGACAGAGTGAGAGAGAGGAACATCAATGTGAGAGAGACACATGTGCCTTGACAGGGACTGGGAATCAAACCTGCAACCCAGCTACATGCCCTTGACTGGGAATCGAACCTGAGACCCTTCGGTGCCTGGGCCAATGTTCTAACCATTGAGCAACACCAGCCAGGGCACATATCAAAGAATTTATACACAATGAATGAGACTAGACATCTATAGAAAGTGTTTCTAAATAAGCCACCATAACTGTGATTTGTAAAAAATTTTAATGAGATTAGGCTAACCCCATATCCCACCATAGAGCTGCCAAGTTAAAAGTAAATTAATAGAAAATAAGTCATAATTTGGGGAAGTCTAAAATATTAATGATGGATACAAAGAGATGGGAGTGAATTGCATGGCTGAGAAAATGAGAATTAATAACAACAATTTGTCAGTGTTTTTCCAGAACTCACCAAAAATGATTCCAATTGCTGATGCTGGGTTTCTATTTGGAACCATCCTTAGAGCAAAGATGGACACCACTGCTTTAAAAAGCAGGGACTATCCCCCGAGACTCAGAGAAGTTGAGTCTCACCCAGCGTCACACAGCATGTGGCGGAGCTGGGACCCAAACCCAGGCATCCTGGCTCTAGGGCCTATGCTCTTACTATATACCACATCTGAGAAGAATTTCCAATATTTAAACAATAAAGTGCAAACATCTTGTAGCTAGCAAGTTTTTCAGTTATGATGTAAATGACCTTTTGGCAACATCAAACTCCCTCTTGTTCTCTAATTCTATCCTTACCACCCCTATCAGTTAGGATAGTTTGGCTGCAAAAAAAAAAAAAAAAGAAAAACACAAAAGAGGCTCTTAAAAGTTTAAATGTGACCCAAGTTTATTTCTCTCTCGCAGTTGTGAAGCCTGGAGGTAGTTAGTCCAGGGCAGGCACAACAGGCTATGGCTTCAGGGACCCAGGCTTCGTCTACCATACTGCTCTGCCATGGTGGCTTCCATTCTCAAGGACCCTTCTGGTCCAAAGTGGCTGCTAGAGCTCCAGACATTACGAATACATTCCAGGCAGCAGGAAGCAGGGAGAAAAGGAGGCGGAAAATCCCCTTCCTTTAAAGAGACTTTTTTAAAGTTTCACACACCCCTTCTGTTTCCATCATATTGGCCACAATTTAGTCCCATGGCCACCCTTAGCTGAACAGAAGCCTGAGAAATGTAGCGTTAATTCCAGAGAGTTCTGTGAGCGGCCAACAATCAGGCTTTCTATTGCTATGAAAGAAGGGAGAACAGATACTGAATGACAACAACAGTCTCTGCCATGCCAAGTCACCTCCTGGTTTCCATCTGGACTCATTCCTACGTGGACCCAATCAGGGGAACAGAGCGTTAACCCACTATTCACTCTTCCCCCGATTACACTTTTTAAAGTCACATTTCAAGTCAAGTAATGCCACAAACACTTGTTAAGTACCTGTTATGGTTCATACAATGGAACGCTATTCAGCAATAAAAAGGAACAAATTCTTAGTGTAGAACAACATTGATGAACCTCGAAAGAATCTTGCTGAGTGAAAACAGTCAGCCCCTCCCCACATAAAAAAGAATACATGTTATGCGATTCCATTTATATAAAATTCTAGTAAACGCAAGCTGGTCTATAGTGTCAGAAAGCAGGACTGCAGCCATCTGGGAACAGTGAAAGGGAGGGCAAAGCATCGCGAAGGAACACAGGGAAACCTGGGGGGGATGAATATGTGCATTATCTTGACTGGTGTGATGGTTTCCTGAGTGTATACACGAATCAAGGCTCGTCCAATGGAAAACTTTAAAAATGCAGGGCTGATTCTACATCACTTATACTTCAAAAAAGCTGTAAACTATTTTTTTTAAAAAAACTAATTGCATGCCTGGCACTGTGTTAGGTACTGAGGATACAAAAGAAGCTGTGAGTCCTGTCCCCAAGGGCCTCACAGTCCAGTAAGTTGTTGTAATGAATCAAATAGGCTTCTGAGTGAAGATGGGGCGAGAGGGTCCCCCAACACGGAGCACCCACCTTCCATGAGCGGACTTAGCCAGGCCCTCCATCGACCCACGGAGGGCCAGGCCCCGGCCACGCACCCAGCCCACCACCACGCAGCCCGAGACGGCTCCCGGGCTTCACCCTTTGACAGTGAGAAGCGGTGTCCATGTATGTGCCACCCTTTTGATCTGTTTCTACATATGGCGATGGACATATATGGAGAATAATATTAATGCTTTCAAAGTCCCCAAGCTAACTGCATTTTCCACTTTTAGAAACGGAACCCAATGGCGCTCTCTTCACTTCTCACATCTGCGCTGCAGAGCAGGGAGGGTCATGTGGCAAAGACAAGTAGCCGGCCCAAGGGATGCCTCAGACGGAACAGTCTAGCAAGACAGAGCCGGCTGTTTCTGATGACCAGCACCCCTCACGTCTTGACATTTCTTGGTTCTGCTCATGTAGCATGGGCAACGTTGCTAAGTTCTGGAAGTCTCAGCTGTCAGCTGAAGGGCAAATATCATAATCAAATTCTTTACACTCTTTTTCTCCTCGATTTCCCCCCTTAGTTCCCCTTAGGGCTTCTGAAGGTTAATAGGACCTTTCCTTAGAACGAAAAGCTGTTGCTCCTGCCTTTTCCACTTCGGAAAAATAATCATAACAGACCAGTGTTTGCCAGGGGCTGGGAGGTGAGTAGGCCGGGCAGTGAAGATCCTCTCTGTGATACCATAGATGGATGCATGTCGTTACACACTTGTCCAAGTCTACAGGCCGTACACGGCCAGAGTGAACTGCGATGCAAACCATGGGCTGGGGGTGATGGTCATAGGTCAATGCAGAGTCATCCATTGTAACAAATACACAACTCTGGCGGGGGGTGTTGGTGATGGGGGAGGCTATGCATGAGCTTAAAAAAGGGGTTATATGCAAGACCTCTGTCCTTTCCCTCAATTTTGTTTGTGAACCCGAAACTGCTTTAAAATTTTTTTAATTTAAAATGTCAGCATTCAAAATAGTAATCAATTTCATTAGAGTTATATAAACTCTAATAAAAATGGCAATGAGATGTTATTTCCCAACATACTGACTTTTTTAATAACAATCAAGGTGCTCATTTGCAGTAGGTAAGGGTATACATTGGCATATTCCGCTCGACAATAATTTGGCAAGATACATAAGGAGTTTTTTGAAAAGTTCTTGACAATATGTGCATAAAACATTTCCAAAAAATTATATAGTAAATTGTTAACTGATTTTTTTTTTAATCAAGATTTGAGCAAGTCAAATTTCATGTCAAAGAAAGAAAACTTTTTCCCATAGCCCATGAGGCCTTCCCTTGTGGGGCAGTGTGGCCCAAATATCACTGAGTAGGGTACGTCATGCACAGTTGCCTCAAATGCTCCCCACAACCCCAAACATCTCCCCTTCTTATCTCGCCCGACACCCCTGCATTATTGATCCGTCTGGGGGGGACGGAGCAAAAGCCCAACTGGCTCACATTGCCCAGGGAGCCTTACAGGACCGGTGTGAGGTCAATGGGCAGGGGCCACAGGGTTGGTCTGCGTGGTCCCCGTGGAGCTTGCGGGAGTGTGACAAAGGTCAATGAGAGATGCCAATAATGACAATAAACTTTGGTTATGGGAAATTTCCTCAAGAGCCAGTACTTCTTATTGTAAAAAAACTAATCTGGAGTGAAGTGATGAATTATTCCATACAAAATCACCACATTTAATTCTTTTCACATGTTGATGTATTTTTAAAGATCCATGATTCCAAGCACTCCTTTCACTTTTATCCAACTCCTGAATAAAAGCAGACTTGCTCTCCTCATTAAGCCTAATTGGTTGGCATTTGAAGGGTATTGACTTACTGGTATCTGATTGCCCTAATTCCAGTGCAACTTCCAAAGGCAAGGAACTCTGCTGATGCAAATAATCCCTCCTTAATATTTCCTTTCTGACAGGGCACCTCTGTGCATTGGAGACACATTTTCAGTGCAAACCTGCACGGGCTCTCTTAGCTCTTATTGCATTAATCTTGTGGTCTTACCTTTCCTACTGGAAAGTCCATTTCTTCTAGAAGTCTTTTTCATAGAAGCATTTTGGGAATGGCCTGAGATGATGCATCATCAATGACAAGGCCCGGAGCAGATGTGAGAGAAAGGAGAGAGGAATCAATGACAAGCGTCAACATTTGTTCTTTAATGACAAGCAGCTTGACCCTCCGGAATAGAACACTTTAATAAACTCCTCACCCCTGAAGCTGATGGAAATCATTCTGTCTAAAACAGAAGTCCCTCATTAGGATGTGGTTTTCATGAGCTAATATTTCCAGGGGGGACGTGCGGAGGGTAGGGACAGGGAGATGTCAAAACAAGGCCATCAAACCTAACGTTGTAAAGCCTACAGAACTCATACAGCTTCAAGCTGGAGTCAGTCCCAGTTCCCAGCATGTCGCAGAAGCATTCCGCAGCACTTACCACATCACCCCTGTGATGCCCCCAAGCACTGGGACCAGCTACTTCTGGCCTCTGAGTATCACTTCTCTTCCATACAGAGAAAAGGCTGAACTAGGGGGACCTCTATGTCCATAACAGTCGATCCCATTCTCAAATGCAGTCCGTGGAATTACCTTGACTCTCCCCAGTGGTCATGCTTTGTCTCACCGCCTTAATTCTTTGTGACATCACTGTTCTCGAGACTCTTCAAGGAAGTGTACTGTGATATTTTTAAAAACAAGTCTAAAATGCCAAGACAGCACCTCTTCAGGTGGTTCATGGAGGACAGTAGTAAAGGCCTACTGTGTGCTGAAGAGTCCTTCTAGATACCATGTACACAGAATGTCCCAGACCTGGGAGGTGATTTTGCCCCTCAGGGTACATCTGGCAATGTCTGGAGACATTTTTGTCACAACTTGGGTGGGGAGGGAGCAGAGGATGCTCTTTGCATCGAGTGGGTAGAAGCCAGCGAAGCTACTAGACATCCTCCAATGCACAGGACAGCCACCAATGACAACAAAGACTAATCTGGCCCAAAGTGTCAATGGTGCCAAGGTTGAGAGCCCCTGACCTAGTCCACAGGATCAGTGGTGTGGTGCAGCCAGCTCCCTCCAGCCCCTCAAAGTCCACTGTGTGCATCTCTTTCCAGTTCCACATTCATGAGGCTACTTGGTGGCTTGACATGAGCCACTGTGGGAGTGTTCACACCACAGGCATCAGCACACCCTACAGATGACGGCAACTTTATTTCTGAGAGCCAGGCGTTCAGCAAGTACCAACACAACCACTACTCAGAACCAACACCTGAAAAGACTGATTCAAAACTCGAAAGAGCTTTCATCAAGAGGCTGTGCTGTATGGAAACCAGAGATGACCTTACCCACAGACGAGGAGTCCAACCTCACAGCCTCACCATAACAATGACGACTAAGAGGAAAGGAACAGCACAAGGGGCGTGTGGCAGGTGCTTGAAGACTCGTGTCTTATTGTTTGGTTTGCTTAGTCACACATACCCTACTTTCTTCCAAAGAGTATTTGAGGGGACAGTTTAGGAAATAAGCAACAGGCTTGTTTATTAAACTCCCCAGAGGAAAAGCATGATTGAATAATGAATAATTCAATACAGTTAATTTGGGAAATTAGACATACAAAAATAAAAATCAAGACACAACAGGTGCAAGGCCTGAGGAGCCAGTCAGTCGGTCCTTCTGCACCTGGCCAGGCCACCTGAGAGATGCATTTCCTGATGGGAATGAAGTCAGCGAAGCTGGACTCCCCTGGATCCCCCCCCCCAAGGAACCACAGGGCCAGCTCTTGCCTTCCAGGGCTTTGCACAGACAATGGATCCCCCACCGAAACTCAAGCCTCGTTGCAGGGAAACCCGGCCCCAAGGTTCTCTCTCCTGCTGTCTTGATATTTGCCTCTGGTTGCTATGACAAAATGTGGTGTTGAAATTTTTCCGGAAACAAAGAGGAAATAGTTGGAGGGGGGGTGGTTCAAGACCCTACGCACATTTAAGTTTGGTTATAAAGACTCCTAGCAAAATAAAACATTGACTCATTAAACCCAAAACAAACCCGAAAAATATTTTTTTAATCCCCATTCAAAAACTCTTGGTTTGTTCCAGAAGTGACCAGCTAGGAAGCTGTTTGTTCTTGTAGACAAGGTCACCAGCGAAGTGAATGAAGAGGGTGGAGCACTGAGCAGTGGGGTACTGGTCACCGTGTGCCGAGACACCCTCTGCTTTTGATGCATCTGATTTCTGGAGCTGGATGTGCTAACCCCCCACAGCAGAGATTTTCCACTTGCCAGAGCTGATGATTTTGTCCAGCCTCACTGGAGAGAGAACCAGGACTAGGGCCATTCAAAATCCGGCTCCAAGAATCTGGAACATCTTACAAGGGCGTGCAGGCCTGTGACACATCTCAGGCCCAGATGTGCTGGGGTGTCTCTTTCTTTTTGTCTGTCTTTCTCTAAGGTCTCTATATCTGAAAATGTGTTCCTGAGTCTCCACCTTCCACCTAAGTCCAAATTAATCTCTCAGTTCACATCCATTGACTTGTCTTCTAGGGTAGACAAGAAGCAGCTGCCACCCCTGCACAGTGACCTGAAGGGAGTGTGAAAGCCCACTCCACCCTCGGTAGCCTGGCCAGTGTGAGTGTGTCCACAGCATGGAAGGCTATTGTCAAACACAGAAACTCCAAGGAGATGCACTGGAGAACTATTCTATGGATTCTTCAAATGGCCATCTGGCTCCGACCCATTTTTCCCATCCTATCCCCTAATGCTCCCTAATGAACCTGCCCCACTCCAGGCACACTCGTACCTCACTATCTCTTGTATCCACCATAAATACTCAGAAACCATGATGAAGACACATTATCACATATAACAGTTTTCATCTCTCAGAACTTCACTCAAGAGAGAGCAGATTTCTTTGGAAGGAATATTTAGGTAAGCCGCTTGGGGAAGAGAGGCAAGATCTCAAGGGCTGTTCAAATAGCAAACAATGGTCACTGAACCACTATTCATGAAATGAGGAAAGGGGGGAAAACAACAGACAATGGGAGGCTGGCCTGTGTGGGAGGAGACTAAACTGGTACTAACTATAAGACTAACTACTTACCTACTGCTCACCTCTACCTGGCGCTGCCCCAGGCTCTCAGCTCATTTAACTCTTACAACAACCCTCTGAAGCAGTTAGTAATATTATCCCCATTTCACGGCGGGAAACAAAGGCCCAGAGTGGCCCAGTAACTTGTTCAAGGTCACTCGGCTAGTGAAGAAGGGCAGAGCTAGGGAGCAACAGGCTGACTCTGGAGTCTGTGCTTTGAACCACTCTCCTGAGGACCTCACTAGGGAAGCCTGCGGTCCCAGCTGAGGAAGGCTACAAGGGTTTCATCAAATATGAGAAGGTGCCCTTGTAAGTCACACCATTATTTTATGTGTTGCTACGAAAGTGCTGCCAATTATACGTATGCTATGACACACCATCCTCATAAGCCAGATTCTGGTTCAGAGATAGCAAATATCCTTGGGGCGGTGAACGCACAATACCGTGTACAGGTGATGTGTTGTGGAATTATGCACCTGAAACCTGTATGATTTTGTTAACCAGTGTCACCCCCAAAAATTCAATAAAATGGGGTAAAACATAAAAAAAGACATAGCAAATACTCAAATATGAAAAAGGTGCATCTTAGAAATGATGAAATACAGTACTGAAGGGGGATTATGGACCTGTTCGCTCTGGAGTGTGGAATGAACTCTTCTCAACTTCATCTTCCCTTGGAAATCCACAGGGAAGTCTACATTTCTCACTAATGCTCTGCGGGTATACATTCTTGGGGGAGGTGGTAGCAAGAAAAACTTACAAAAGTAGCATTTGTGTTTGTGTGTGTGCGTGCACGCGTGTGTGCCCATGCTTGCACACAGGCCTGGGTGAACAGACACAAGGAAAATGCGGCTTCATTACTTTCTATAATTGACCTAATCTTTCTCCTGAGCCCTTCACCTTACTACATAAAAACGGAAAATTAAATGTCATCCCATCCAATCACTTAAACAGTCCCCCATATATTTCAATCTCATCGTTTTCCTCGCCCACTCTCCCACTCCTCTCCAACACGGCCCCTGGGGGAAGAGTTCACTTTACCTGGTGGTGGCATGAGAGAGGAGGGAGTCCTTGATCCACCTGATCCCTATGTGCAGTCCTTGTACCATCCCCCAGATCCTGGGTCCTCCCTGAAGGCCTCAGTGCTGAAACTGTGGCTGATCAAGGTCCACCAGGAGCTCTCTTGGCTTGGCCAGGCCCTGCTGTCTGAGCTCCACTTAGGCCCTCGCAGGAGCCGCAGATCCCCTGAGGTCTGGCTATGTTTCCCATTTGATCTCCAACCCCCTGGTAAGTTCATCAGCCAGCTTTACTCATGGCCCTCTTGCTCAGTGAGCCTGGGTGTGACCGCAGAATCCTTCCCGTCGGAGCGTCCCGCCAGCCACTGCACCGAAGTCAGCATTTTCAATAAGCTAGTACCATCTGGATCTACCAGTGATTCTCTAAGAGGCACATCTGTTGGCAGTTACCTGTGTCTGGGAGACAATAATCACCTAAAGGGGGAACGCAAACATTATAGACACATGCAGTCAGTACTAATTGAATTAATAAAGATCAGTATCACCTATTAAACATGTTAGCGTGTGTTCTAGTCCTAGTTCTAGTAAATACAGATATACCTCGTTTTATTGCACTTCATATTATTGTGCTTCAGAGATGTTGTGTTTTAATAAATTGAAATCAAGACCCTCCTCCAGCAAAAATATTGTGCTTCGCTTTATTGCAGTGGTCTGGAACTGAACCCACAGCACCTCTGAGATACACCTGTATCAAACCAGCATCTTCCGCTGGCACGGATGTGTGCTGTTCAGGTCAGCAGTGTGAGCAGCGTGTGTGTGTGTTTCAGGAGTTTATCCAGAACTTTGGGTTGTGGCTAGAGAAGCGAATAGTGGGCAGAGCTGAGATCTCAGCCACTTGTAGAAGCCTGGGATGAGTCCATCAAAGTCTCAAGCCTGAGCCGCAGGGAGTGCATCGTCCCTCTCTGTGGACTAGAGCTGCTGAACA